AATACTATAGCATAAGTAAAAAGAATGAGGTGAATCTATGTTTATTCCTATGAAAAGCTCTCCAAGATCTACTGTTAAATGGGGGGGAAGGTAAATGACAGCACTAATGTCTAATACGACCTGTCTCTAGAAAGAAGCCCTCCACATTGATGAACTCTGCAATAAGCTTTACAATTGAAGAAATAGCAAAGGGAAACTTTGGTTTTATTTGTACTGTTTGATTTTCTTTTCCAATGAGAATGCATTCCAGAAGTAAGGTGGATATTTTTGCACTAACGTTCACAGCAGCATCATTCACAATAGCTAAGAGGTTGGAAGCAACCCACATTTCCATCGACAGAAGAATTGACAAGCAAAATGTGGTATATACATACAATGGAAAATTACTCAGCCACAAAATGAAATAAAGTACTGATTCACACTACATGGATGGATTGCAAAACATTACGCTAAGTGAAATAAGCCAGACACAAAAGGACAAATGCTGTTTGATCCCACGTACATGAGGTACCTAGAGAAGTCAGATTCATAGAGACAGAAAGTTGAATGGTGGTTACCAGGGGCTGCAGGAAAAGAGAATGGGGGATTCATGTTTAATGGGTACAGAGTTTCAGTTGGGGGAGATGACAAAGTTCTAGAGATGGATGTTGGTGATGGTTGCACAGTAATGTGAATGGACTTAACGCCACTGAACTATACGTTTCGAAATGGTTAAAATAGTAAATTTTATGTCATGTGTATTTTACCACGATAAAAAAATGTTAAATAAAAATAACGACAAGCAATTATAAAATAATAAATAATAATAATAAATAAGATGCACTGAGCAGATGCTGAAGGATCCTTTTCTATTAAAATACATATATACTTGGCAATATATTACAAAAAAAATGTAAATATATAACCAACCTTAAAATAAAGAATGTATAATACCCAAGAGCCAAAAACAAAGAAGGAACTTCCATCCAAGACAAAAGCAGAAGCTGCAATAGGGGTGACCCAGGGATCCCACGAATCAGGTACACAGAGCACCAGGGCTAGAGGCCAAGAACCGCATTGTTAACTCCACAGACTTGACCGCAGCCTTTGGGTGATGAGGAGCTAGAGTGGAGCCCACATTATAGTAGGGATCCTTGAAGGGCTATTCCATCCATAAGGGAACTAAAGAAAATTTTTTTTTAAATCTCCTTTGGGGAAGCAGCAAAGAATCCATTCACAGACAGTGAGAAAGAAAAAAGTCACACATGAGTAATTAAAACCCTAAGCCTGTGCCACTTATGGGTGTAGGGTCTAAATTTATACCACCCTTGTAGAATGGAAACCCTAAACTGCAAATTTAGCATATAAAATATTCAAGATTAGTGAAACACTCAGGTCCAGCAGAAAGAAACACAAGACTTGTCTCTACAAGGACATTTTTACAACCTAGGGCATACAAGACCCTCACAGAAGAGGAAGCGGGGGATGATCAAGAGGAGTTCACAATATAAAACAAAAAGATGAAACCCATGCAGTACAATCAACAGGCATGCATGCACATGCACACCCCAGCATTAGCACCTCAAGAACTGCAGATATTAAAGCAGTCTGAAAGTGCCTATGCAACATATTAATGGCTAAGGAGAGAAAAGATGAATACAAAACACAATTCAGGTTTAAGAGGAAGAAAGTCAGCTCCATTTGGAATTTGTGGAGCATAGAGTCTTCAGGACATTCAGGTAGAGGTTAGTCGGAAGCTACCAAGAACAAACATCTGGAGCCCGGGAGCAAGTTGTTGGCTGGAGGTGGACACGGGAGTTGCCATCATGGTAGCTGAGGCGCCCGTGGAGGGGTGTGACCAGCCAAGGCATCGACCATGAGGGGCCCTGGAGTGAGCCCATGGTGAAGGGCAGGAGACTTGAAGGAGACAAGAGTGTAAGCTCCATCTACACCACCAATGTGATGGCAGCCTTTTCCAGAGTGTCCTCAGAGCTGCTCCTCCCCAAGTGTTCCCTCTCTCTTACAGCCCTTCCCCCAGCCCGTCTTACTGCACAGTCACTGTGGTTCTGCTGCAACGGGTGACAACACTGTCCTGCTCGCCTGTACTTCCCCCACATCTAGCACAAGGTTGGGCTTCCGTGGTGGCTCCATCAACGATTGTTGAGATGAATGAAATTAATGTGCATTTTGTCATGTCGTGGGAATTCATATCATGAACCTGCAGGGGAATGGGCTCAGAAGGAGCTAGAAATCCAGCTGGTTTCCTCTTCCTCTGCCCCTCTGCCCTCTCTCCTTCCTGCTGCCTATTCTGCATTGAGAGCATCACCTCTCGGATTCAGGCTGGCACTGCCCTAATTCAGTCATGCAGGAGTGCCATGAAGCCTTTGTTAGGGCTGTGCTCATGCAAAATCGTCCACTCCCCTCCCCTCTTCCAACATTGTAATAATTACCTGTTACTGAACACACTTTGCAAATAGCTCATTAATCCTCACAGATTTTTACTACTCCCCCACTCCGCAGATGAAGAAACTGAGGATCAGAGATGTGACATGACTTTCCCTGGCCACAAAGCCATCGAGTGGCAGGGTGGAGGTTCAAGCCCAGACCTCTCACACACACTCCAAAGCTGCAGTTTCTGCCTCTCCCGTGGGCCTCCCTCTGCTTCCCTCTCACATGCCCTCCCCAGCACTCCCAGCTCACCCCCTCCTTAGCTCACACTGCGTCTGAGTCACACATTCTTTGGCAGACAAGTGGAGGCGGGAGGAGGGAAGGGGATGGTCAGGTGGGTGGTGAGTACAAATCTGAGTTTGTCTTTTCATGGCTACCAAGCATTGTCGTAGGACGTGGAATCCATAACCCCTCCTGGCCCCTTCTGGGGTTCTTAGAGTGAAGGAAAGAACAGATAAAGGACCCGTCTGCAAATATGTGGCTATGAAGACTGGGCAATTGTCTCTGAACCGGCCTTAGGGACCAGACTCAGAGCCTACCCTTCCTATGGATGTGATGGTGGCCCAGGTGCCTTTCCTTTAAGACTCTGGATTTCTCGAGCCTGCCTTTGTGGGGGCTCAGAACTGTGCCAAGTCTCAGTCCAATCTGAGAGGTGAAGCCCTGGGCTGGGAACCAAGAGACCAGGGATCTGGTCCTGAAGCTGCCACCAACTTGGAGGACCTCAGCCAAGATCCAGCTTCTCTGAGTCCTAGTTCTTCATTTGTAAAATGGGGCAATCATCCCAGGCATGCCCATTTTCTAAAGATGGGTGTTTTGGCATGGGAAGGGCTCTGAGCCAAGGATTCAGGTTTGGAGAATAAGAAAAGGAGGAGATGCCAGGGGCAAGATGGCCACCACCAAGATGGTTATTCTTTTGGGCTGGGTCAGGACCATCTCACTGAACACCTCCTGAGAGGATTGCTTGCCCACCGTGATGGTTAATTCTCGGTGTCAACTCGATTAGATTAAGGAATGCCGAGAAACCTGGTAAAGTATCTTTTTAGGGGCGTCCATGAGGGTGTTTCCAGCAGAGATTAATATGAGAGCCTGAGTGGACTGGGTGGGAAAGACCCACCCTCAATGTAGACAGGGACCATCCAATCTGCTGGGGACCCAGAGAGAACAAAAATGAAGAAAAAAGGCAAATCGCTCTCTCTATCTGCTGGAGCTGGGATACACTCTGGTCTCCTGTCCGGGGACATCAGAGCTCAAGACTCTTCAGCTTTTAGGTTCCAGGAATTATACCAAGGACACCACTGGCCTCCCTGGTTCTAAGGCCTGTGGACTTGGACTGAGCCACGCTACCAGGATCTAGTTGCAGACACCTATTGTGGGACTCTTCTTCACAATCACGAGAGCTAATTCCCCTAATAAATCCCCTCTCATATACTTATGAACATATCCATTGGTTCTGTCTCTCTGGAGAACCCCAACTAATACACCCACTCAGCAACTCTGGCCCAGACCGTGACTGTGGAACAGCAGAAGCAAGAGAGGAAGGAGGGGAGGAGAGGAGAAGCGAAAGGGGAAGGAGTGGAGCGTGGGGTGGAGCAGGAGGGTGGGGAAAACAGGCCCGAGGATAACAGCTACAGAGACCAGTGCCCTGCATTCTGGATTGGGTTCCAGCCCTGGCTCTGCTTCCCACTCCAATATGATGTTAAGCAAATGCAGCCTTCCATTGAGGATCTCTAAGCCTCAGTTTTCCCATATGTCAACTCACATTTTATGACCTCTTCAGCTACATCCTCCACTTCCCTTCAAAGCCTGGCCCCATTGCTCCATTGGCAAAAGCCCTTGCTTGATCCCCTCTTCTGCCTCCTGCTAAAAGTCCTGCCTCTCCCCTCTGGGCCAACAACCCTCAGCTTAAGCCTGACCCCCTATGTCTTGACAGATACAGGGTCACACATCACAAGGCAAAGGCCTCAGTCAAACCACCTGTGGTCCTGCCAAGCACTTATACACTGATACACAGTAGGTGCTCAATAAACATTCTGTTACCAATGAAAAATGGTGAAATCGATGGATGGATGGATGCCTAAAAAGATAAGCCTACTTTGTCTGCTGATCAAGCTCCTGGTCAAAACTCCCCTCCATAAGACACCTCCTGAATATACTCCTTCAACTCAGCCACAGGACGTCCTGATCCTCGCTGCTGTCCTTCTGCCCTTAGACCTCAACTCCTGTCCCTGTTCAAAGGCTCCCAGTTGCCATCCTTCCTTATCCAGCAGGTTCTAACTCCACAGGCCGGCAGTCCGAAGAGCTTGGATCCAGCCAACTGCATTAATTACCCATGCTACTGGGGTGGTCATTCTATGGACAAAGAAAGCTCTGGAGTTGTTCTGCCACAGAAACCCCACAGAAGTCCCCACAAGAGTTCCTGTAGGTCACAGATTCAGGGACACTATAAGAGGAAGAGAGCCCAGACAGGTAGCTCTTCATAGAAGACCCAAGTCCCAGCCCCAACTGTCAGTCTACAGCCTACCCTGCAACACACACATGTGCACACCCTGGTCATGAGAGAAGCAGAATCTCACCTTGATGCTCGCCCAGTTTCCCCATGGTCTCGATCTGTTCCACCAGGTCATTTGAATTCCACTGACTCATCCCAATGAGGATGGCATTCTTTCCTTCAGCCACCTCCTCTGTAGGAAGAAGCAGAGATGGGCATGAGCAGACAGAGCCATGTACAGCAAGCCCTAACAGGGGCTTACACTTAAGGGAGTACTAATTTATTCCTTGACTTGAGATAGACTTCAGCTATTGACAGCATCTGCAGGCATAGACAGGTACAAGACATTCAGAATTTGTCACTGCAAGAAGGCACTGTTTGTGTACCCTACTGGGCCTCCACATACTACAGCAAAAGAAACTAAAGAGGGCAGCCATGAGAGAGGCTGAAAACCCATAGAAGGCTCCATCCCTAGCTCTGAGAGAAGTATTTCTTGAAAGGCAGTGTGTTTGGGAAGAAATAGCAAAACTTTGTCACTTGCTAGGAGGTTTGGGGGTGGGGGGGTGGGGGGTAAGTTATTTGTCTTCTCTGAGCTTCAGTTTTCCCATCAATAAAAAGGAACTCGCAATGGCCAACTCACAGAGTTGTTGTGAGGATTAAATGAGATAATGGGTGTAAAGGTCTTGGTGCATAGGAGACGCTCATTGGTGACAGCCACTGCAGTTATTTGTTCACGTGAGAAGTAACTTGCCATCAGGATTTGAGTGGAGCAGGATTTGAGTGGAGGCAGGAGCAGTTCTGGAGTAACTGGGAGAGCAGAAGCCTTCTGGTTCTAAGCAAGCCTTGAGCTGCATGGCACCCTCGGCCCCATCTCAACTTTATGACCCCTTTAATGCCTCTTTGTCCCCACTCCTCCCCTCAACTCTGTCTCTATCCTTGTCCTTTCCCTGTCTGAGCCTAGGGATTACTCTGGGAGGAATCAGGGGGCCATATTCCCTACCCACACTGAACAAGCCCCTGAGTCCCACACACACTTCTAGTACAGCCCCTTTTCTGCAAACATACACTTCTTCAAGAACAAATCCATAGAGATGCACGTTTTCATCCCTGCTCCCTGCCCCAAGGTGATAGGCCTTCCCGGTGAAGAGCTTTGCACCCTCATAGAAAAGACATGGTGTTAAGAAGAATCCCCGGTCTCATGATAATTAATAATAACAGGGTGAGACCCACTTCACTGCTAAAGAACTTCACCTAGCAGATGGAACCAGTATGGTAGATCAGAAGCTTTGGGAGCTGTCCAGAGTTCTGATTCACTGTAGAGCTCAGTAATCCAGACCCCATTTCTGGTGGAGACACCTCCTCCTATCTTATTTTATTTATTGATTTGATTTATTTAGCTACACTCTTCAAACCCTTACTAGACACTGAGATTGTTATAAGTGCTTTACGAATATTAACTCAATTATCATAATAATACTAAAAAGGTTCAATTAGTATTGCCATTTTATAGACAAGAAAACTAAGGCACAAAGTAGCTCAGAGTTCTTGTCTAAGGTCACTCGCTTGGATTCAAACCCAGGTATACTATTTCAAGAGGCCTAAATCCTGATGTCCTGACAGCTTGCTGTGGATATCCTGCCGTAACACCCCGGCCAGGCACCATACATGCCCAGAGAATTTCCCAAGCCTGGCGTGTTCCATCTGGGGACAGGTTTACATCTATAAGCAGCACTGGGTACCAGGCAAAACCCTGACCAAGTTCCAGAGCAGATTTTGCTACATGTGAGCTTTGTGCCTTTGCACAAACAAAAATAAAAATGGCAATAACAACTTAAATGGCAAGAACAACTTTGGCTCTGTAACTCTTTCTAGCAAGCTGCTTGGGGACAAATGATGTAGTAAATTTGAAAAAACTACACAAGCCAAAGTACTGTAAACAAATATAAGGTAGCATTATTCTTGGGGAGACAGAATTGTGAAGAGGTAAAGAGCTCAGTTCTGGTGTCAGATTGACTATTTTCCATCCTGGATCCACCATCTACTAGCTGTATGACCTTGGACGAAGAACTTCAGCTTTGTGAGCCTCAGTTTTCTCATCTATAAAATGGTATGATAGTAGTGCCTCTGTTGTAGGATTGCTGTGAGGATGAAGTGGGCTGATACAGGTAAAGTTTTTATGAGAGGGCCTAGCACACAGTGAGAGCATGGATAGGGACACTATCGCATGATGGTGCCATCATCCCTGTCATCACTGCCAGCAATAGCAGCATGTGATGCTATGTCCCCACACGCACTGTCAGTTCCAGTCCTGCTGTTGTCTGCCCCTATGACATTCCATCCCAGCTCCAGGGTGGGATGGTCAGGACCAGCCAGTGGCCCACCTTGAGTTCTTTGTCTCCTAGTTCAGTTACCCAAACACACAGTTACTCATCTGTTCGTTCTAACATTCACTCTACAGCGAATGGACTCCTGAGAGCTCTGGTGTGTGGTATGAGACACGGCCTCCATCCTGCAGGAATCCACTTTCACGAAGAACATGGTGGCACGGTAGTTCCCCTCCCCCATCCAGTTTCACTTTTCAGGGTTTCAGTTATTTGCGGTCAACCACAGTCCTAAAATATTAAATGGAAAATTCTAGAAATAAACATTCACATAACTTTTATTACAGTATGTTGTTATAATTGGTCTATTTTATTCTTAGTTTTTGTTGCTAATGTCTTACTGTGCCTCATGTATACATGAAACTTTATCATAGATATGTACGTATAGAAAAAGAAAACATAGTACATATAGTGTTCGATACTGTTCACAGTTTCAGGCACCCGCTGGGGGCCTTGGAACATACCCCCCAAGGATAAGGGGGGACTACTGTAAATAACTCTGAATGGCAAGATGAGCGAGCCCAGGCCCCTGGTCCAGCACTGGCTACACAGCAGGTACTCAGCACACCCTAGCTCCCATTTTTGCTACAATGCCATATGTCCTATCCCTATCCTGGGGGTGTCTGCGAGGCTCTCCCAGGCCCTAGAGCTGAGCGTACCTACTTCTGTGCAGCCCCAGGCCTCCTTCCTCTCTTTGCCTAATTGCTCCATCCTCTGCTCCATCCTCTGCTTGGTCTTTTGTCTGTTTTCTATCACATGCTCGTGTATCTTTTTCTCACTGGCTCCCAAGGTGAACGCTTTGTGTCTGGCCCTGTCCCACTCAGATCCGAACTCTCCAGGTCTCTGTCTCTCAGTCCCTGCCTGTATTTCTCCTCATCTCTCTCCGGCTCCAGTGCTCTCTGTCCATCCACCCCTCTCTCTGGGCAGCCTTGTGCGGGCTCCCTGGCCCTCTCCCTACCCCAGCATCTGCCCCTCTCTCCTCTCTCCAAGTCTCTCGTTTTCTCTGAGTGGACATGCGTCTTTCTTGGTCTCTCTCACTCTCTCACTATCTTGGGTTTCTCTCTTTCCCCAGGGCCCTGCTCCTCAGGATCTCTGCCACCCCGTGCCAATCTTTCCTGCTCCCTCTGGTGTTCCTCCTCCTGCTGGGTCCCTGTCTCTCTTGTCACTCTCTCCGGCTCTCTCTTGCTCTGTGTGTGTGTGTCCCTCTCCCCTCTCTCCTTCTCCCTCCCTGCTTTCTCTCACCTTCCTTGGCTCTCTCGCTCTCCCTGCCCCTCCGCCCAGCCCTGTCTGCTGCTGCTCCCCCCTCTCCCCCACATGCCTTCTCTCCCTCCCTGCCTTTCCTCTATCCGGGCTCCCCACAATCAGCCTTCAGATCTTCACTCTGGCAACAATGGGCTTATCCCCTAAGTGCAAGAACACACGCTCATACGCACAGAAGTAGCAGCAGAAACAGGTCCTTTCAGAGTCATTCGGGCAAAGAGGGGAGCCATCGCTCAGCTCAGAGTCTGTGCCCCCCTTGCTGTAGTACCTACTTCCCAACAGCACCCACAGACACCACAGAGGGCTCATTTGGATAAGTGTCCTAGGTATTGATTTTGCTTTTTGTCTTCTGGTAACTGTGCCCTGCATGCTAAATCTCATCCCTGGCGACCTGGTGCAGACCTCGTGTTAGCATCCACTCCACTCCCACTGTGCCCCAATCCCAGCCCAGACTCAGCACCCAGCCGAGCCTCCGCCACAGTCACCACAACCCTGGCCAAAGCCTGGATACAGCCCTCTAAGCACAACCTTCAAATGCCAGGAAGGCTTCACCTCCAGCTCACAGGACTGAGGGCTTTGTCACCTTCTCCAGACAGCCTGTCCAATACCACCCATTATCAGGCCCACAATGCCAATCCTTCCAAGAACCTAGGTACACATTGTGGGTGGCGTCTGTGATACGAAATTGCCAATCTTCACCTCTTACTGCTTAGCACATGCCCCACTCCCACCTGCAGCCTGCAGCACCACTCTCCTGCCTTTTTCAGAGCTGGCTCCATGGCGTTCTCTTCTCCACTTCTCCCAATGGGGGGAAGGCAGAGGGAGGACAGGGGTCCATGACACACCTGTGGCTTGCTTCTGGGATGGCTCTCCTGCCCAGGAGTAATCACCCACCTTCCCAGAGTGACATCCCTCCACTCCACGCATGAGACAAACAACTCTACCCTTACCACTTGACAGATGAGGAATCTGAGGCTCAGAGACTCGAGGCTTGCCTGAGATCAGATGCAGCCAGTTGGCAGCACAACTTTGATGAAAACCTGGGTACTTTGGCCCCAGAGGACACACACCACTTTCTTCTATCTTCCCCCACCCACCACTTTGAGGTTGATTCCACCCCACCCCTGGGGGAGGCTGTGTGATCACACAGCAAAAGCCCAGATCAGGAGGAGAGACCTGGAATGGGTCCCTCATTCTCTAAGAGAACCAACCCTGCCTTAGAGCTTTCGTCTGTAAAATGGGATTGTTTATCCCCACACCACCTTCCTCTCCTGACTGCTATGGGAAACCAGGGAGTTGGAGCCTCAAGCAGACTTGGCAACACAGGGTCCAGCTCCTCAGGCACCAGTCTCCTGCCTGGTGAGGGGTGGGGAGGATCAGCCTAGTGCTGGACACTAAGGGAGCAGGACAACAGAGGGAACACAAGACAGGGGCAAAAGGCAGACATTTCCCAGCCCAGAGAATTCCCTGGCCCTGCTGAGGGAGGGCCCTATGCTTTGCTCTCAGTGAGGCTGCCCAGGCGTGCCCTGGCTCCACCACCCCACTGCACCCCACCCCACCCCATCCCTGCAACTGTCAGGGCCTGGCCTGCTTATGCATATTTTGTGGGGAGGGGGTTGCTATTTAGATGCTGGGGGTATAGGGGACCAAAAGAAAACAAATACTTCCCATCAAAGTGAGGGAATGGGCCTAGTCACTATTGCCAAAGGGCCATGCAAGGCCACTTGGGAGTCTCATGGGATGTTCAGAGCTGAAAAGAGTCTTCAAGGTGAAGTCCAGCACCCTTGTCCTACAGACGCACACCGGCCCACAGTCACACAGAACCTCAAGGGCAGGGCTGGGCCAAGGATTCAGATCTCCTGTCCGCTGGCTCAAGGCACTTCCACTAAGACTATCATCTGGCAGTTAAGTTCATGGTAAGAGCCTTTGTTCATCACTACGTATTTAGTAGCTTTTAAGATTACACTATTTGGAATGTTCTTTGCATCTGAGTAGAAGGTGAAAGTTAAGGATGCATCTGATGTTTTCTAAATTAAAGACATACATTTTGCTATAGAAACAGACCATAAAGGGACCCAGGCTTGATGGATACAACCACATACCAAATAAACTCATCAGCTGCCATGGTCGCTGCAATTGTCTACAACTAGAATTGGAACTGTGGCAGCAGCAGGATGCAGCGTCCTGCTCACACAGAGGACAGAGAACACACCCAGTGTCAGGGCAGGGCTCGGCCTGGGCCACAGAACGGAGGGCAGGGAAGTGTCCTCTGAGAGATGCCCAGAAACCCGGACACCGATGGCCTGACTCTGGACACAGAGCACTGGCTTGGCTGGGCTGGACCAGGTTCCCAAGAGAGAGAAGAAAGGTGGCTTCATCTCTCACTACCCTGAGCCAGAGAAACCTGCAAAGGCCTTAGTCCAGGGAGGCTACATAGGACAGACGGGAGGTGGGGGTCAGCAAATCAGAACTAAAGAGGGTCCCAGCAGACTGTGGGGCAGATCCCGTGGCTTAGGCCTACAGAGGCCAGCCTGCTGGGGAGAGGCAAGACGGAAGGGGCAAGGCTCGTAGGGAGTGCTGAGAGGTGGAAGGTGGGACAGGGAGGGGGAGTCTGGGATCCTGGGAGAGCAGAGGAAGGAGGTGAGGAGTCTAAGGAAGAGAAGAGAAGGGGGGGCCGCCAATCAGAGGGGTGTGAGGGATGAGGCCAATTTCACACGAGAGCAGTGAGAAGGGGGTGCAGAGACGGCTGAGGGAGCCAGCGGGCAGCGGGGGGGCCCAGGCAGCGTCCACAGCTGCTCTCAGGGAAAGCAGGTGAGCAGGGCCCGAGGGACGGAGCTGACCCGTGTGCTACCCACAGACGCCTCCCGCAGCAAGCCGTCATTGGCAGCTGAGAACGTGGAGCCCTGATGAACTGCAAAATATTTTAAATAAAAGTCTTCTAAGCATCAAAATATTGAAACATTGTTGTCACACTGTGGGTTAGTTGCTATGGAGAAGCTCAGCCCCGGCAGCTACTCCAATCAGACACCGATAGGAGACAGGAAACAGGCCCCAAATGGGCCAGTTTAAGACTGGCATTGAGGGGGGAGTTTTTCCACCCAGGGCCAAGAATGGGGGGAGGCTTGAGCCAGGACAGCTCCCCACCTCCCAGCCAGGCTTCCCTGGAAATCACCCGAACTGGGTATTCTCTATTTGGGGGACACACAGAGCTGATAGGGAAACTGAGGCCCAAAGAAGGTGAAAGATCTGCCCGAGATGACAGAACAAGTGGATGGCATGGTTGAGACCATGCCCCGAGTGTCCTGTTCTGAGTCCAGATGTCTACCCGGCACAGCACGTACTCTGTTTCTCTTTCAAGACCCCGTCTACCAGGCATTGCAAAACTGGCCCCATCTCAGGAGTAAGTCAACACCCTAAATATGGTGACTTTCCACAGTACGGCCAAGCAGGCCAAGCAGGAGCTGGGGACCCTCCATGGCTGGGGATCCTCCTGGTCCCCACTCTTATGTCTCTGTGTTTGGTGTCCCCACCTTCTCTTCCCTCCCCCTCCTGCTCCTGCCCCACTCCCCCCAGCCCAGCTGAGCATGGCTGGTGAGGGTCTTCTCTCCTAAATTCCAGACTGACTCCAGCCCTGCTGCCCACACCTGTCCTGCACGCTCACACCACTGAGCCTTTGCTCAGGCAGGTCTCTGCCTGAAACGCCCACCCCATTCAGTGCCCCTTTCTTCCATCCCAGCTTAAATGGCGCCTTCACTGTCTTGTGCGCTGGCTGTGCTATGATGCAGAGCAGGCTTTCTCACCCACCAAGTCTCTAACACTCAGGCTTTCCCTCCTTCTCTGAGGCTGATCTTAAAAGTGGTGCACGGGACCATAAGCACCATGGCCCCAGCAGCCTTGTCCCCCCACCTCCCCCTTGCTCACCACCTCCCTGCCACATGGGCTTCCTTCCTGGAGTGTTCCCAATCTCTCCTACCTCGAGGCCTTTGTCCCTGCTGTCTCCTGTGTCTGGAAGGCTCTTCCTTCTGCTCCTCACCTGGCCAGTTCTGCAAAGAGGATATTAACGACCTCCCGCCACACTGAGGTGCTTCTCTCAGCTCTCTGTCATAACAGTTGGTGCTTTTTACTTGATGGCATCCTTCCCACTTGTCACTGTCTGATGTGTGCCTCTCCCACCAGACTTTAAGTTTGATGAGGGTGGCAGCCAAGCCATGGGTATCCCCAGCACCCAGGACAGCTCCTGGCACTTACCAGGGGCCCAGCAAATATTTCAAAGAGTGGATGGGTGGCCTCTGAGCGCCTGCTTCCGGGGCACCCACGGGCTGGTAAGTATGGAGTGTGGAAGTGCAAATGTCAAGTCTGAGTGGGGAGGGGTGCTAGCCCCCAGCAGGGATCCCCTTCAAGGGGTATCAGGGAAAGTCACTCGGCCAGTGATGTGAGAATGGGTTCACTCACCTCTAGCATCAAAGAATTCATCATCCGAACTCTCCACAGAGTCACTGAGGACATTCCGAAGGTGCCAGGGGGCACCGCCGCCCGGGGGAGGGCCACCTGTCAAAGGGAACATACCCATTAGCCAAGCCTGAGACCATGTCCCAGTGTGAGGGAGGTGACCTCAGAACCCCTTGAGCTCAGGGTCATTCAGTGTTGTGCATGGCTGTGCCCTCTCCCTGCAAGGCCTCAGACCTCGTAGAGCCCTCCCTCTCCTACACCTCCATTCAAGCCCCAGTGCCTCTCTGAGAAAGCTCAGAGGGGCAGTAATGAGTGCGTTCACTTTGCATGTCGTGGGTAGAGACTTGGCCAACGTGACTTTGCCAGGAGACTTTGCCAAGGAGGTGTCAGTCAGCAGAGGGTAAGTTTTGCTGTGTTAACAAATCACCTCAACTGCTTAAAACAACAGTGGTCTATTTCTCACTCACACAGGTTAAAAGGGGCTCTGTACATTGCGTTCACTCAAAGGTGCCAAAAGCTTATGGTGTCACCATCTCAAAATGAGACCTCAAGTTCTGCCAAAGCAAGGGAGAAGAGCACAGAAAGTCAAGCCCGGTCTTAAACGCTCCTGCCTAGAAGTGACACATTTCTACTTACACTTCATTGGCCCTGGCCACCAAGAACACATGTCCTGTCCCCATAGAGACCTGGGTTCTTTGGGGACCTGGTATGAGCAATACCTCTGCCTCAGTTGTCCCATCTGTACAAAAAGAAACTTGACAGGGACTGTCCCTTGAGACTCTTCAACTCTGAACATGTCTGAGGACCCCATCTGGCATATAGCAAGTGTCAGTAAAGAACTGAAAGGTGGACATCTTTCCCAGCCACAGCCAACATGGACCTTATGATACAGTCCTTGGAGAACCTGTGGCAGACCCAGTTCACCCTACCCTGCCACCCTGCAGGATGCTGGAACTGTTCCCTGCCCTGACCCCAGATGCCAGAGCATAAACTGTTAAAGAAGGGAGAGGCCAGCCCAGGTCGCCCAGGGACACAGCCCTCCTGACAGTCGCTCCTGCCCCACCCACCACAAACTCCCACACACCCAGCTTGTGCTCCATGGCTTGCAGACAAGTGAGAAGCACATTCTGAGACCCAGAAAAGTCAGAGGCCACAGGGAGCACCAACCCAGAAGTCATCTCTAGGTGCAAAGTTGGGTGTGCCCACACTCCTCATGGGGACCTTCTAAGCTTCTGATCCCCCATCCACCTCCTGCCAGTGTGAACAGCATGACAGGCTGGCTTAGCAATTTCCCCCCTTGAGCCCTGGACTTATTGCAAGGGGACCTGAGAATCCCCTTGCAATAACATAACTGTGTATTTCTAACGTGGCTATGGGACTATTTTTTGAATGCATGTGGAAGAAGTTCTAGCTAGTGCAATAAGACAAGAAAAAGAAATGAAAGGTATACAGATTGCAAAGAAAGAAATAAAACTTTTTTTTTTTTTTTTTTTTTTTTTGTGGCTGGCCAGTACAGGGATCAAACCCTGGACCTTAGTGTTATCAGAACCATCCTCTAACCAACTTACCTAACTGGCCAGGCCAAAGCCGTCTTTAATGTCAGAGACATGATTGACAAAATCTATTTTTAAAAACTACTGGTAATGAACAATTGGAACTTAAAATTAATAAACAACACCATTTATAATAGCATGAAAAAATACTTTGGTATAATTTAAATGCATGTAGAGATTTCTGTGATTCAGAAAATACAATCACTTAAAATTCTTGCTGAATTTGTATTAACTTTACAAGTTTTCTCAATCAACAGACACTAGAGGTATAAAAACTATTATACGTGCTATATGAGCACACACTATATTAATACATTAATATATAAATATCTTTTGCTATCCAAATCTATTCCACACCAAAGAAGCAAGAATTTAGAGAGTAAGGCAAGTCCTATTATCCTCATCTATTCGGTTCCTGAGTTTTAGATAGTCAGCAGCAAGAGCTTAAGTAGTGGTGGAGCCATCTGAAGATTTACCTGAGTCTGTTTGGTTCCTGAGTTTGAATGGCAAGGGTTCAGCCACACGCTCCTGTATACAGTGGCCCTCATACTAGTTCAGTGTACACTCTGCCCAAGAACAAGGCAAAGAGCCCCCCACTCACAAATAGTGTGTGCTAGAGCCTGAAGAAGAGAAGAGAGTTCTAGAATGTGTCCCTCACTCAGCACCTCCGCAGCATCCACCCATGCAGGCCCCCATGACCCCAGGCTACTGCAAGGCTCTGTAACATAGCTGTGGCCTGGCCTTCGTGGGAGTCCCAGGGAGCACGGCACAGAGGGAAGGCTGCAGGGAGGCCAGTCAGCTCCATCTGAGGAAGCAAGCCCTCCCAGCTAGAGGTAGGCACCAGAGGGAGCATCCATCCCGCAGCCACCATGTGGGGTGCTGGGGACACTGTGCTGAGCAAAAGGGTCAGGGTGGGGCTCTTCCAAAGCTTACATTCTGCAGGGGGACAGGGAAAGCCAACCTGGATCAAGTAAACAACAAAGGTGAAGTGCTGTGAAGAACATAAAATCTCTACCCAGTGTCCGCCATGTCCTCCTTCCCCAGTGTCTCTCGCAGTGTAATTAGAGCCCAAAGAACAGACAGGCATGAACGGTGGATCTGTCTATCCACAGAGGAAACTGACGAGGGGACTCAGCCCCCTGTCACCTATTCTAGTTATAAATGCTGAACTAACACGGTATCTTTCACCTCAGATATATAGCTGATATTCCTTTCAGATAAATCCTTTACCTTATTGTTGTGAGTCTCCTTTGTGGTCAAAGTATGTATTTGGATTTCTTTTCAAATGCATGTTTTATCTTGTTTACTATTATTTTTCTTGTTTTCAAAAGGCATACCTGCATTGCTTTTTATATGTACACTATAAGCTTGTTTAAAAGTGATACAACGTCTCCTGCCCAAAACAACCTCTGGAAAGGTGTTGGGGGGGACCTCAGTATATACACTTGCACAAAAAAGAACCTGTGAAAATGCATATGTTAAGAAGCAACCGTCACCTGGCTTCTGGATGGGAGCTGATCCCTCATCTTTTCCTCCAGCATGCAGACTTTTCAGCAAACGGCAAAGGCCATAATTCAAAGACAGAAAAGAGCCAAGGGCAGAATGTCTCGGGAAGGGCCAGAGAGGAAGGCCTTTCTGAAACAGTGTAAGGTGAACTGAGACTTGAATGATGAGAAAGAGCCAGAAACTCTTAAGCACATGCATGTGTGTAAGTGTGTGCATGCACACGTGCTCACGTGCACACATGGGATGAATGGGGCAGCGTGTGTGGATAAGAGCCTTCCTGGATGAAGAAACTGCAAGGGCAAATTTGCACATGAGCTTTGCATGTCCGAGGGGCAGAAAGAAGCCCACGTGGCTGGAGCCAATGATAAAAGGGAGGCAGAAATGAGAGGAGATGAGACGAAATGGGGCCAGACCAGGCAGGGGATGGCCTCGTGGATGGACGTCTGGAACAGGTGAGTTTTAAGGTTCCTCCCCCACCCAGAGTCTACCACCTGCAAACTTGAAGAAGAGGGGGCTACAGATGCCCGAGAGGGTCAGAAAGTCTCCAGGGGGGGCGGCCAAAGGTCAGGTATGCTAAAGGCCACACATGTTCTTGAGAGTCAAAGCAGGTGGGCATGATGATCTCAGGACAGTGAGGGTAAAGGCCCAGAAGGACGGTCTCCTTGAGGCGGGTCCCTGCCCTACACCTCTCTGCATGTTCTGGGACCAGTATATGGCCCCACGTGAAAGAGGGTCAAGAAGCATTTAGCAAACATGTGAATGAATGAAATGATCTGCTGAGTGCATACAGTGTGCCAGACAGTCTACCAGCTGCTTTCCAGATACTGAGAAGTCATCCTAACCAAGCCCAGTAGAGTGTGTATAACAAATCCCCACCTTACAGCTAAGGAAATAGAGGCTCAGAGATGTGAAGGCATTTGCTCGAGGGCTAAAGCTAATAATAAGCAATGGAGGTAGGATTTGAACCCAGGTCCATCTGATTCCAGGGTCTGTGCTCAGAACCATCATGCTGGGCTGCTCAGGGCAGGGTATCCGGTCTGCTCTCTTGGCAAATAAGAAAGCTTCCACCTGCTGCTGCCTAGCTGGGCAAAGAGCCAGAGGCTTGCGCCTGGCTCCTCGTGGGGCCCCAGCCTTGGGGGCTCAGCTGTCCAAGTTCTAGAACCATCTGCCCACCAGGTCTACAAATTAGTGTCTGGGTATCCTTGTGTCTGTGGGAAAATCTAAATGGATGCCTACATTCCTGAGTAGAAATGTCTAGAATTACATGAGCATCTGTCACTGTGTCTGCATGAGTGTGTGTGTGTGTGTGTGTGTGTGTGTGTGTCTACATTCCTTGGAGAGTGTGGACCTCCCCAACCTGCCACTCTTCACCACCACCCCCCCACTCACACACACATACACAAATCAGTTCCCAGCCATGGGTGAAAATTTTAGCAGAGTGGTTAGAGCATGGGCTTACAGCAACATGAACCTGGGGTCAGCACTACCAATTATTAGCCTATGACCTGAAGCAAGTTATCCTCTCTGAGCCACACTTTTCTCATCTGTGTAATGGATGGATATCATGATCCTTACCTCACTGTTAGATTTAAATAACATCAGCCACAAAGTGTCCAGGCCACTGCTTGACACTCAGGAGACAGTAGCCTTTGACAGCTACAGAACCAGGACTTGAGGCTAGACAAGCCCACCTGAGGGGCTTCCAGTCTGCCAGGGGCCCTGCCCAAGGCTGCAAAGCTCCTTCTGTGTCCTCCAAGGCCCAGCCTACTTCGCCCTGGGGACACTCCTTCCATCCATCTTCACTACCACATTTATTTAAAACCCTAAGTCAGGATAAAAGAGAAAGGGGAATATTTCAACCCTTCCCAGCATTCCAGACAGAAACAACGATCTTCACACCCTCCAGAGGCAGCACCCCCACTCTGAGCCAGGCCCTGCAACAGGAGGGGCTGCTGGGAGCCCTCCCACACCCTCTCTTGGCCCATCTACCTACCCCCTCAGGTCCAGTGTGGTCCCCTAGACCTTGCCACAGGCCTG